ATTTTCCACTTCCCCTAAAATACCAAGTAAACAACCGAAAACAAATCATTATTGAAAGTTTTAAATAAACAAGTTTGTTGATAATTAATTTTTATGACTTCCGATCCAGTGATTAATTGAGAGTTCGAAAATAATTACTAGCTAAGACATTTTAAAATAATATACCAGTATAGATTATATTTCTAAGATATAATTTTGCTTTTAAGAAAACATTACCAACATGCATTTCTCCTCAATAATTAAGAAGGTTAACTAAACGCGTGTTACATGTGCATACTGAGGAAGAACCCCTCTGTGGTTCGAAACTAGTAGAGCTTTTCTCAGTATATTCACGTGAGTAACCCGCGATTTTAGTTAATTTAGTATGTCTTACGATAGTTATTATAAAAATTAAGAAAGTTTGTACGTCTGCATATCAGTCGTTGTGTCGTGGTGGCCCGGAGGTTTAAGACGCCCACTTCTCATGCATGAGGGTGCGGGTTCGAAACCTACCAACGGCAAGTACCAATGTGACTTTTTCCGAGTTATATGTACTTTCTGAGATTATTTAGACACCACTGACAAACGGTGAAGGGAAAACATCGTGAGGAAACCTGAACTTATAATTTCTAATTATAAGTTTGAAATCGCCAACCCGCATTGAGAAAGCGTGGTGATTAATGCTCTAACCTTCTCCGTGTGAGTAGAGGCTTTGCTCAGCAGTGGGCATTTATAGTCTGTTGATGATGATATCAGTCGTTGTTCCCTAACCACGAAACACGTACAGTTTTGTGGTAATAAATACGTACGCACGTGAGCTTCGCAAATTTACAACGGAGGGTCGGCTCCTTCAACAGTTAATGTTTAGGTTACTTTCCGAATATAAATCTTCATTAGGAAGTGAGAAAAATAGACTTCGTACATCAAAATACACAGTTGATGAAATCAATGCTGGTTTCGTAAACAAGATATCCGCATACATTAAACGAAGATGATTTGACCGTAAACACTTCTATTTAGATTCATACCAGTGTTCGTGAGATTTTATATTCAATGTTTTTCGCTCACTTTTGGACGGGCATGTCCGGTCTTCGTCTTGGTATTTTGAATTATTAAATTATATAACGAACTACAAAATCACGCGACCTGTTATATCACAAAATGTAGACGAATATTCATTGCTTCTACGTCATTAGTCTCACGTAGGTAATTATAGAATGAATTCATTCATTACCTACTCTCCGTCTCATTACTACAAATGAGAAACATGTACCTAACTATTCCTGAATCAGAAAGTAAACTGAGGTTTTCAAGAATTCAAGTTGAGCGTAGGTACCAACGAGATATACGACGATACGTAGTTAGATTAGATTGTACCCCAAATACTTTTTATGACCCAAGTTAAAGTATGTGTAAGTATGTCTTTTGTAGATATAACGCCAAAACTACTTAAAGATGAAACGATATTTTATTTGCTTATAACGGATAAATACGATTTTCCAGAAAACGTGGCTCTAAGACGTAGGTACTTAGGAGTTTTATTATATTTTATTTGCATTTCAATTTCTTCGAAACTATAAACTTAAAGAGCTTCCAAGAAATAGAAGTGGCAGTGATTTATTATTGTTAGATATTTTTTAATAACCAGATTTAACATAAAATAAAATCGAATCACTTTAATGCATCTACAGTGTGTACAGGGTAGTTTACAATTATTGAAAATATTTGGCCCTTTTGGGCACCACAAAATTACTTAATTTACTTACAAAATAATAGGAATCATTAATAATATTATTTCGTTACAATCATTAAATTATTTTAAAATTGTATACAAACTTTGTATAAATAAAGAAATAAAATGCACCTACAAATTGCTTTAACCAAGTACTAGAACAGAAGAAATTTCTGTAAGTTCATGGAGTTATCCCGTAGGAGCAATACATTTAACGTGCTATTTAGACCACAATATATCATAATATACAGAAAACTATTCACACGTATACGTAAATCATAAGAAAAAAAGAAAATTTTGTACTACAACGAAAATAATTAAGGTTACGTAATGTTCGCTTTTGATGTCTGTTATTGCTGCAACTTTCAGTAGTATACATATGTTCAATTATTATTATGACTATTTACAAATTGTATGTAAAAATACTATTATGAATACTTTCTTATTGTATATGATACAATTAAGTAAATCCATAATAAAAATAAAAACTCGTCGTGAGTTTCTGTCCGGAATTAGGTACTGTTATATTTTTTTTTGTTTTTATAGTTATTTTATGTTTGCGTATTCTATACATCATGCCTAATGGTAAATAAATTATTTTTCTTTGTTTTTTCTTTCTTTTTACTGCTTCAGCACTGCCGTCATCGCTGAAAATGCAACAGTTGAATTTTCGAAACTGCTTTTGCGTTAGAATTGTAATACATATATTTTTCTTTAAAATTGATAAAATTTTATATAATACGTAAATTTTGAAAGTAATAATACAGAACATAATCGAGTGCTCCATGAATTTCTCGTAGGCGTACGTAGAAAACTATATAAAAGGCACATCTGCGTCGATACTCAATCTATCATAGCTCTCGCATAATAAATGAACAAACTTTCTGAAAACAATATATCTAGTAGAAAAAGGTATTTCAATGGATTGAAGTACTTGTAACAAACAGTTCCTTTCTAAGAACAAAGTAATCTCTTCTGATAAGATATTATTTTATTTTTGAACTTAACAGTTAGTATCGTAAATTTTATTTTAATATCCGTCTAATATATTAATTTAAAACATTAGATACGTATTTGCTCTTTTCGCTTTTTCGACCTATGCACTGAAAGTGAGGTGCAAAAAATGAAACAACCAATACAAAACAACGCTTTATTAATACTTCTTTAAAATTCAATTCTGCTTACCGATGCTATTCTTTCTCGTTTCCAAGAAAATTTGGGTCAACACTGAGTAACCAAATTCCGTTGAAAGTCAATATTTTACGTGGAGCGACTGCTTCTAACTCTCAATGAATGACGCGACATTCTTGTGAAGTCATTGTTGTTAGACTTTCAAATGTAGTGAAACACAACGACAGCTGGTGAGGCAAATGAAAAAGGATTACTGTTAGAATATAATACATAGTTAATGAAGTAATATCAAGCACAATTTTAATCAAAATGATGTTATGTTATTGAACAATTTTTTTTATGTGATAAGCTGGTAAATGAGCATACGAATCACCTAATTATAAGCAATCGGCGTCGCCCATAGACACCTGGAACACCGGAGGCGTTACAAGTGCGTTACTGGCCGTTTCTCCAAAAGCCATTACATTAGGAATTTGGATTGTTGGGGATTCAGGAATTGGGGAGATTGGGGAAGGGAAGGGTAATTGGGCCTCCGGTAACCTCACTCACACGACGAAACACAACGCAAGCGTTGTTTCACGTCAGTTTTCAACACAATAGTGAAGAAAAACAAATTAACATATTCTAAATGTCTTTTTTAGTCCTTGATAAGTGTCGGTGACTGTATACGGCGTTCGTTTCAAACAAGGGGTTTTTAGGTTGCTCCTTCTCAAAATTTGCAGTAAACCCACGTACTTTACCTTTGCGACCGGTGTGTGGCATTTGGTCTGCTTCATTTTAAGGGGCTAATAAAAATCAACTGGTAAAAGTGCGTATGTATTGTTTAGGGAACAGAAATTAAAGTTCCCTAACATTGGAAAAGGAGGATCCTCCAACTACTGACGAGCAGTTGAATGTTGGCATTTAATGTGCATGTTGTGTTTTTATAATAACTATCGTGAGACATACTAAATTAAGTAAAAACGCGGGTTATTCACCTGAATATACTGAGAAAAGCAGTGAGCTGCGCGACGTCGCCACGACCGCGCACGCTGCTCATGAGGAAGAATCCCTCTGTGGTTCGAAACTAGTAGAGCTTTTCTCAGTATATTCACGTGAGTAACCCGCGTTTTTACTTAATGTGCATGTTTTCGCGTTGAAACTTCACTTGAGCGATGTAGGGTTTTCGTTTTATAACATCATCTGTTAATTGCATCATGTCGAATCTTCTGTGTGTCACCAAATATGAAACGATTAATTAAATTCATTTAAGGTATAATTATTTCTTGTTTAATATTTTGCTATCTATCTTAAGGCCGTCTTAGGTATTATTATTATCACTATTCATCATTTTATGTGCATTAAACATGATATTTGTTTGTCTTCATTGTCAAGTCATATGAGGACGATTGACAAACCTAAATCAGCATCGGATGTCTAATTAATTACTAGCAGTTAATTACGTAATGACTATCAAACAGTGTCTCAGATGTTCTACGGTATTTACTATTTCTATATGTGTTTGTATGTACGTGTGTGGGTTGTTCATTATTGAAATGTTATATAATTGATGTACAAACTATAAGGCTTATATATTTATATACTATAGTCTTCTGTTGATAGCTTCGTTTTAGGATAGATCATTTTTCATTAGATACCTCCTTACTGTTATTGCCTGTTTTTATTTCAAATCTAGTTTTAAGTTTTACTTAAGAAGCTTTATATTATTATCAGTTGCTCATTACCAAAATAAGTGGTCATTTCAATAAGTAATAATAGCAATTGAATAGTAGTTAGATAAATTGCTGTCTATTATGACAATACGCCATTTTAATGCTAATTACCAATTAAACAGTTATGACTTAATAAATAGGTGTGCTTAAACGAAAATGTACGTGACTTTATTGTGTGAAGGTCATACACAAAAAGTGGGTATTGTTATGTAGTCGTAAACTACACAAATTACGACTGCTCTGTCTCGCATATTTTACGCTGAAGCCAACATTCGCCCGCAAAAATTGTTTTTACACCGTTTTCCACGTTCATAAACTTTTTTCGTTTAAGTGTAAACAATGTTTTTTTCTTAAACACGTTATTATAATATACATTACGTTGTTTAGACTATGGTGACGTGCCGGTACAAAAATTTTTATGACAATAACTTTTTTTCTATTTTCAGGTAATCTGCATAGATGAAGTTTAACGCAAACAGAGACTGAAGGACGATGTGGAGATAGATGTCTTTAGCACATTATGTTAGATACGAACAACTTTGATTATGAAACCACGACTTTATATGACGCACTTGAGGCATACACGAGCAGTTCTAAGAGTCAGGATGATAACGTGACGAACTCCACCAATGCAACATGGTCAAGTTACGACGTCTGCGACCCTTCTTCCTATCCGCAGGACTTCCTGACATCTTCGCTGTTCCATGGCTGCATTTACCTAATGTATTCAATAGTGTTTCTAGTAGCACTTCTTGGAAACGGACTAGTATGTTTCGTAGTGCAAACTTCACCGCGAATGAAGACTGTGACGAACTACTTTATAGTGAACTTGGCTGTGGGTGATATACTAATGACACTGTTCTGTGTGCCGTTTTCTTTTGTGCCTATGTTAATACTCCGGTATTGGCCGTTCGGTTTTGTAATGTGCAAAGTAGTGAATTATACTCAAGCTGTGTCTGTGCTTGTAAGTGCATATACGTTGCTAGCAATTTCAATTGATAGGTATATGGCTATAATGCGACCATTAAGACCTAGGTTAGGAAAAGCAGCAGCCAAAATGGTAGTGGCTGCAGTATGGCTGGGGGCTCTTACAACAGCAGCTCCTATCGCAGTTGTTACACAACTGCAAAGGCCGACTCCTTGGCATGAGTTGTGTCAAGCGTAAGTTTAAAAAGTTTGTTAATTCGTTTAGAAAAATATTTCAAAATTATTTTTGTGAACTAATAATTATACGTTGTTGTATGTTCACAGTGATATTTGCTTTGAACAGTGGGAGCATGCTGGTCAAAGTGGTCAGTACACGTGTGCACTGCTAATACTACAGTTCGCACTGCCACTGGCTGCGCTTGTGTGCACGTATGCACGCATCGCTCACGCTGTGTGGGGAGGTCGGCCGCCCGGGGAGGCTCAGGATGCGAGAGACTCCCGATTACAACATTCTAAACGTAAGGTTGGTATAACATAGAACGCACTAATTGGTTGTAGAATTATATAGAGATTTCAGACTCATTCTATTTCCAAAAAAATCCTTTGTTGCTAGCCAGTTCTAACGTAAAGCCATCCAAATATAATGTGGACTCGGTACAGAGTACGGACCTGTACTTAGCAATTAACTTAGGATCAATAAACTTGATCGAAGCAGCAAGGAATTCTTATAAACTACATAATCCATCTGATGAATTCTTAATTAATTTCTGAAGCAGATAAGAAGCCAACCTTGTTTCGACAGATCAAAACTCAAGGTCCCGTGGAACAAAGCGCGTGACTACATTAATTAGATGTTGTCTTAAACGATGATCACAAATAATTAAGGAGTCTGGAAGAGCTTTAAGTAATCTGGTCCTTTTTTGACTTCTTTTCTGCGTAGATAGTAGTTATAGTAAATGCGTATAGTGCCAAATCATTGTATTTGACTGTATGTTAATGTTGACATAACCAACCAATGATAAAACTTTTCTTTAATCCATTATGTTTGTCTTTTGTTTCACTTAGTTGTGGGAACCAAGACAGTTATTCATTTCCCAGGGACGCGTCGGACCTCAGTGTTCCGTATTTTCATGGTTGTATCTTCTGTAAATCCTAGCTTACAGGAGTTGCAGCTGTTTTAGCTTGTCCCATTAAAAAAATCCTTTATGTTACATTTTTGGGTTATTGGGATTCAATTTTAAGTTTTGCAGATAATCTATTTCTTTTGCAATTCTTATCTATTATCAATATACCAAATGTAGCAACTCATCTGGGTTTGTGTTCAATGTAATGACTTTCAATTTGATAAACCAATAAAATGATTGTGGAAAAGTACATATGCCATGAGTCTCCTGAAAATTGGAACGACATAATGTTATTTAGAAAATGTTTGAGCACGTCATTTCTATATTTAACCCAACATTCAGATTTATAATATTTATTTCTTCCATTCAGGTAAAACATTTCATTAGCACGTGTCGCTTCGTTGAGAATATTCTCTCGATTAATGAACCCCTTTTGAAGATTTGTACAGAAGCAGCCATTTCCGAGATTCTTATTGAATTTGGAGCTTTGATGATAGCTTGATTAATAACTTATCATTTTGTTCTATTACAAGCAGATTTGCGAACATCATTTGTTTCGTTTATCGTTCTCAACAAACAGAATGGTTCTGTAGTCCGATAATGATAATAATGGCTCTTTGAACTTAATTTGCAATCAATATTTACCTAAATAAAATGGTATAATATGCCGTATTATTTAGTCAGTATAAGTTATTCCAATAACAAGTTATAGTCTTGCATTTTTTTGCAATAGAACTAACGACCTAACTGTTGAAAATTGAGAGTTCAAACTCCTTTGTCTGCCTATTAATTGTACAAATTAGAGGTTGTTATTATGTTGCCAATAAGTAATAACTATGTCTTTGTAATTTTAAGTACATTATAATTAAGGGATTGTCCTTAGAAAATTATAATTTTTAATGCAGTTATTTCTTTTAAGGATAAAAGATTTTTTCTTGTTATATCTAATTTTCAATTCTAATGTTACAATAATATTACTATGTACATACAAGTGAATATGATAATGTTACTCAGTAATAAGTTACAAAGAAATGGCTTTACACATATCCTATTCATGTTCATGAAAATTCTGCGGAATATATTTATTGTTTATTGGAATCTAACATATTGTAGAACACTAGGCTAGCCATTTATCGGAATAATACCTGTAACATTGATATTATTACTTTGATTTTTAAGTTACAATGTTCTAATATGGTGTCTTTTATATAAAACATGTTTAAGTATTTTAAGTGTAGGAATGCCATGCTTCGGCAGGAATGGGCCGGCTTGTTCCATTGTGTAAGTGAGGTTACCGGAGGCCCACTTGCTGGGCCCCCTTCCCCAATCTCCCCAAACCCTGAATCCCCAACAATCTTTAAACTGTCAAACACCGAGCGGTCACCGGTGACCGCAACCTATTGTTCTTTAATTGTGTCTATAAATACGGTACTCGACGAGTTAAAAAATAATTGCAATTATATTTTCATTCACAATTCATATGTCTAATAATTGCTAAAAATTGATAATAATAACTTAGATCTTTTTACTATTATGGCTAAAATACGGCCAACACAAGCCTGATTGAATCGGATCTTGAAATATTCTGGCTAAATTGGTATTCTGAATTTCCTCTGTCAAATGAAGTCGCTCGCTGCTATGAATAAAAATGTTTGGAGTTGAATAATAAAGCTGATTTATGCAACACTATATTAAACTGTCAAACACCAAGCGGTCACCGGTGACCGCGACCTATTGTTCTTTAATTGTGTCTATAAAACCGGTACTCGACGAGTTAATGCTGACAGAAGCTGTGCATCGCTTGATCTCTCTTGTGATTTTTCATGCCGGAAACATTTTTTTTTATTTTCGGTTTAACTTTAATTACTGAAATATAGCAAACAATATTCAATCTATTTGCAATTTTGCCTTTGAGGCACCGTGACCTATGTATACTTTATATTTTTCGTAGATTTTTTGCATAAATTCAACATTTTCACAAACAAGAACATATAGTATATAATATAATTATATACTTTTCATTATTGCATTGTCAGCATTTTGGGAATCAGGGATTTGGGGATTGGAAATGAGGGGGAAGATTGAACCTACATATATTATACTAGGGAGAAGTGCACTTGCCTTCCGATTTAATTTTGATACTGAAAATTTAAACACATCATTCAATATAATCAGTGAAGCAGACTAACCAGTCTTGTTATCTGGCAAGTCACTGAAAACTTGATTCATCATCATTATCAACAGCCTATATATGCGCAATGCTGAGCAAAACCTCTTCTCACACGGAGAAGGTTTGAACATTAATCAGCACCCTTGCTCAATGCGGTAATTAGAAATTATCATCTCTCTTCATGATATGTTCTTTTACCGTTTGTCGGTGGTGTCTAAATAAGCTTAGAAAGTATATATCCTTACTAATATTATAAATCGGAAAGTGACTTTGTTTGTTTGTTCCACTTATACGCCGTAAATACTAAACCGATTGCTTTGAATTTTTGCAGACGTGAAGTTAGAAGTCTGGATTAAATAATAGGATACTTTTTATCCCGGAAAAATTTGATATTCTCGAGGGAAAACGAAATTATTGGTATAGATGGCGCTGTGTGTATTGGTATATGTCACATAGGCTACTTTTTATCCTTTAGTGACGCGAGCGTGAAGCCGCGGGTAAAAGCTAGTATATATATAACTCGGAAAAAGTCACATTGGTTTTTTTTTATCGTATAGGAGGCAAACGAGCAGACGGATCACCTGATAGTAAGCGATCAGCGCCGCCCATTGACACCCGCAACACCATGGTACTTGCCATTGGTAGGTTTCGAACCTGCAACCTCATGCCACTACGGTATAAGAGTGAGGTTCCTTTGCGGAAATCCATGTTACACTAATAACTGGGAACATATTAAGTATTTTTAATTCTACATGTTGGAAAATGCTGTAAATTTATTTCCTCGTCGGAATATAAACCACAGGAAGAAATTCCAATAGGAATAAATGGTACCTTTGTACTTTAATTTTATGTATGTGTTGTCCTTTATGTTGTATGTGTGTACATAAATAAAATAAATAAATAAATGAACTAAACATTTTCCGAGTTGTTAGTGTGAGTGATTATTATTATGTTTATGAGAATGGACCACTGGATGCAGGTCACTTCTATTTATATGTTCTGTGCTTCTAACCGACCTATCTGCAAGTCGTTGGAGGAGGCCTATATTCAGCAGTGGACGTCTTACCGATAATATGACGACGACTATGACGATTTTTCTAATCTGTTTTTCTTATTTCAGATGATCAAGATGATGGTGATCGTGGTAACTGTCTTTACAATTTGTTGGCTGCCCCTCAACATGTTTATTGCAAGTACCCCGTTTTATTAAGCTTAAAATTATTTTAATTAAAATATATGTCAAAATAAGAATTTAAATCAACAGTTATTATAACAATCATCAAAATATAAAATACTTATTCTTGTTTTTATGTATATTATCGATTGTTAATTAATTTATGAACAAATATTAATATAAGCATAACATCATAACATCACGCCTTTTTATCCTCGAAGGGGTAGGCAGAGGTGCACATTATACCACTGTACAATGTAACACCCACTTTTCACTATTTATGTTATGAGTCCCATATAATAGGGGGTGAGCCTATTGCCATATACCGGGCACAGTTCCAGACTCCGTGCTACTACTGTATTTTATTTTTAACTGTATTGATTAATATAAGCTAAGATAAATAATATAAGATCAAATTTTAGCCAAGGCTAAAACACCCCAGTCTGTTAAATACAAAACTAATTAGCCTGTTCCGTTGATTACATTGTTGTAATTTCATAATTATCTAAAAATATCATTAACACTGTTGAAACACGCACTCTAGATACCTAATATGCAACAAAAATTGTTATACTCAAAAGGCATTTTTATTCTGGTTGAAGCCGTCTACGCCGCCTACGTCGTAGCTAGCTACGAAGTACTACGTCGTAGCTTATTTCGTAGCACAAAGGTTTTGTTGTTTGAAAATAATAGCTTTTATTTTTGAACAGGTGTTGTGGACCGTTCATGAAGAAGATGAGAGATGGGCTACATGGCCAGGGATGCCGTACATGTGGTTCGCTTGCCACTGGCTGGCGATGTCACACTGCTGCTATAACCCTATAATATATTGCTACATGAATAACCGATATAGGCGAGGGTTTAAACAGGTGATAAACACGTTACAATAATTAAGCAATCGGTGTAATAACTTATTTAAAAGATCTTTATTTTTTTATTCTACCAATATCTTAAACTAAGAACTGAATCTGTTTTATAAAAATTTGGCATCGTAATATATTTTATTTCTTGGAAAACTACTGCCTGTTAAGGGAACGTATAATTCTATCGTTGGTTAAATATATTGGATTCCAAAGTGAAAGTATTGCCTTGGAGATTGCCGTTAGGGTGTCATAGATTTGTTCTAACAAAATGTCCTGTACCACAGTTTTTTCTTTTATAGTGTAAGGCTATATAGTTATAGCTATATAGGCAGTGAAGTTCCATCTAATCATTTGATATTTATGTGTACTGTTCAGTAGCAGGTTCACTAATTTGATAGCAGCTTTTTGTTTAGGAAATATTATACTTTTCATTTTTTATTAAACGTTAGAACGTTTAATAAAAAATAAAATCATTAATGTAGTTAGTTCTCTTTATAATTAATGCCTCAATTTATTATAGAACAATTTTTACCCACTTTAATTGTATAGAAAAAAAAGACGATCTACATCTAAGGTACCATAAATTAGTGTCCAGGTGTATTTAGAATACGGAGCCGCGGAAGAAATAACGGGTTGCCGGGGCTCCGGCTCGAAGTGCAGGAGTAGGAACGGGGTGATTTTTAGTCAGTAAGAGTCTGACACTCCCTCTCTTCTCACCCGGGCGGGAGAAGTCATTGGATAAATTTCCCCCCTCAAAAAAAAGGTGTAATTAGGATTATTACCGTTTTTTAGTTATAATATTAACGAAGTTGTAGTTAATAATAATACACTTTATTATTTTTTACAAAATTTTGTATGATTTTAGGCATTTGGGTGCATATTTCGGAAACGACTGGAGACGTCATCGCGACATCGAACAAGTATGTGTGAAGGTGTACAAATGTCAGGTATGTATAGTATGCAAAGAACTTTATATGTGTATTTTAATAAAATCAAAATAAAAATACAAATACGTTTATTCAAATCAACGTAGTAAATTAAAGTATGTTTATCCCCATTTTTTCTAAACTGATAGAAAATTTTCCGTACTTTAAGCTTAGGATTACAATTTTTATTAAAATATAATTTTAAAGTATATTGCAAAACAAACCCAAAGATGTTATAGCAAATAAAACATCGCTATTGGGCGTCGACTAATACCAATTTTAATACCTCTACAAATATTGTCGAATAATAAAATACTTTCACTCCATATCGTAGATAAAGGGGACTTTCAAAAGGATTTCCTTATTGAAATCGATTGGTCCCTGTTCATGATTTATCTTTTTGACATATTTATTAAGAATCTGTCTTTACCATTAAGCTTTGTAAATAGCAAATTTCCAATTACAATCAGTTGCTGTCAACTACAGGAAGGGCTTCGAATACAGAAACCCGTTTCTGGTTATTGTCTCCATATTGTAGTGATCTCCTTATTCTGCATGGCACGTATCATATGGCCATTTCAGTGTTTGAAACGGTCAGTCAACATTCCTTCTTCCCTGACCCAAGGCGGGAGAAGTTATTGGATGATTACCCCCCTCCTCCAAATCATCCAATGACTTCTCTCGCCCCGTGAGGATGATTTCCCCCCTTAGAAATAATATTATTAAAGATAATTATAATAAATTGTTCAATGTCTCATAATTTTAGACTGCATTTAAAAATATATAATGAAATCGCATTGGGAACAATTCTATTTTTGCAATAGTTATTTAGTCAAAATTAGATCGAATTATTTATAGATCCATATCACGTGTTACACTCTCAAAGAGTACTCACGCATCGTATTAAAACCGTCAGACGCCGAATTAATTATAGTTATTGATGGAAGCATCAAGTGCTTGCGTTTTGATGACGTCATCGTTACGTGAGTAAGCAATAAAATTAATACGAAGCATGCGGCAACATCCTCGTGATCTATGTTCGTGATTTCATTTAGTTAGCGATTATCCAAGTCATTTATTACCTATATTTACTAAATATACTTATATTTGGTCGTCTAAACCAAACTATTTTTTTTATTAATCGACCGGGCTTTTACGGTCAATGTTCAGAAATTTGTGGAGCTAATCATAGTTTCATACCAATTGTAATTGAAAGAATTTCAATTAAAAATTTTATTAATTGAATTAATAATTATTCTTCATTAGATGACTGAAAGCAAGTACTGGTCTCTTAAACCATTTTATAGTAAATTAGCAATTACTTCTAATGAAAAGAATTAGTTAAAAAATAACATAAATATGTCAAATTTAAATTATTATTATTAAATAATATTCTTTTATACCTCAAATAATACCTATTAATTGAAGGCTACTTAGCCTCATTACTTTGGGTCCTTATAGAGTGATAGAGTGATTGTAAGTTCAATCACACTATCACCCTAATATAATAAATGTGAAAGTTTCTTTGTTTGGATGTTTGTCCGTCAATCATGCTGAAGCTACTGAACGGATTTGATGAAATTTGATACACAAGCAGGGTATGAGCTGGCATCTTATTATCCTGATTAAATGCTTCCATAGGACAAGTTAGTTTTTTATTAGTAGATTATTTAAGTAAACAAGAGTTCACAGTTACCCCGGAGTCTACTTAACTTTGAAAAATGTAAGACAAATAATGTAATAAACCACAAAAAGATTAACAAAGATAAAACATAAAATTCCCCTTTATGTCAAACTGAATTCGATTTACTCCTTCTGTTCACATAAGCTATAGCGGTCCAGATTATAATGGATTATATTTATTGAAAACTAGCCTTCCGCCCCCGGCTTCGCCAATGTGGAATTTGTCATTTGTTTACCGTATACACTTATCTTCGTTTTTTACCTACTTTATCCCAGGTAGAGAGGTAGTAAAATTACCATACATTTTGGAACACTTTACGTTTATCACACAATATTATTTTTGTGTAGAAAGTGCGTGGTTGTTGTGTAATTAGCATAATGTGTCCTTAATTTTCAAAGGTAGCAGCCCTAAAGAAATTAAATATAGGTAGGTAATTTACGGATATTGTTGGAGATACTCGCTGTTGATTATAATTGACTGTCTCCGTTTTAATATTAGGAAAAAACAAGAACGATTTTTAAGCACTATTCATTTATACAACAGCTAACGTTACACCCCATATTCAAGATTAGAATCAAATTGTTTTACAATAAAATACAAACGTTTCAGAAGTGTTCTGGCATATAGGAATATTTTATTTTCCGTGTCACTGTAAGCGGAAAAGCAGTCAAGCCATATAACATTACAAAGGTGAAAATTCATATAGCCAAACCTTCACAATTCACAGAACTTTGCTATACAAAATGCTTTGTGAGCGTTTTCTGGCCTATCACAATGTTAATTTTCACGTGAAATGTATACAGAGGTCACCTGAAATATTTGTATACAACTATAATTATCCCTTTTCAGGTTTCATCTAAATAAGTAGACAGATGTGATTGTAATTATGGTGGAAATATACCTGAGTGAATGACTTGCCACCTTTTATTTTATGAGTGTCGTTTAATATTTATTTTACCTCTATATCTTTTTTGAATAATAAATAGGCCATACACTGAACACAATTTCTGACCTAAAATTTGCGACAAACCGACTTAATTTCTATCAATGTTATGGAGTTTCCTACCATACAAGATGTTTAGTAAATTAAGGCTGGTTTCACCCGTAGCATATTTTAAACAGTGAACATTATTTTTATAGACTATTTGCAGATTAAAATCAGGTACTAATAAGTGTGTGGTCAGTGGTGAAGCTGGCCTTTGTTTTTTTGAGGAGGGAAAATCACAGCTCCTCCCGCCCTAGATTAGATGAGGCAAAAAGCACCCTAGATGCTTTGACCCGGAGTCACAATTTAATCTTTTATTTTTTTTATTACAGAGATTGTAGGGGTGAATGGAATGACTCGGCGTGGGACGACGAGCAGTTGTCTCAGTCGGTTGCATCGTGTTCCCACGTGTTCGTCATGCACGTCTGTAAGACGAGGGTTGACCACGATCCCTCGGCCTTGCGCACCGTCGGCCCCAGTCCGCGCCTTATCAGTTCGAACCCACCTAAATTGACCTCAAGACTCACCGAAACGCAATTAAATGAATATTATTTATTATTTTAGTGTGTTATCTTTTATTTATAACGTAACATTTAATACATTTAAGGGAATACCGACATTCCACTAGTTATTTTATAAGTACACTTATGTGGTAAGAACAATATTATTGCTATACACAGACCACTTATTCTGGAATTCATAAAAATATTACTGAGAATTTTCGAAGGTCTTGAACAGAAAAATCCTTGTACTTCTTGACCGACGAGGAGTTACGGCATTGCTCACATTTATTTCTGAAATAAAGCTTTATAGGCACTGCATGTACACCTAGTAAAGACTGAGAGCTTAGGTTCACAGTAGGAAATGAGAATTTTTGCACCGTAAAAAGTAAACTTAGGCAATAAACTGTGGAGGATATGTAGGTTGAATCTTTATTGACACATAAAAATAGCTTGGTTGTGGGAATATCTTTTGATAAGTACCTTTTAACAAAAATAATTATTTATTTTATCTTTCGGTAAAAATAAATCATTCTCGAATACGTAAATTTCTAATTTGTTGTTTTGCTCAGCTCGTTAATCATGTGGAACAGTTGCTTTTATTTTCGCTAATGGTTTGACCCGCTTCCAACATTATTAAAAAAGTTTAACGCATCCCTCGACGAGTCTACGGAAATACTAATCATTTCCATGTTTTGAAATACCAAGCGGGCTCCTGAAATCTGGTTAAAACTAGAACCAAAACAAGGCTTGACAGTAGGTGAACATCAAATGAATTAAATACACTAAATCTTCTTTTTTGTTATTGAATGAAGAGTTATTTGAATTTCATGTACTCGCCTCCTAGCCTATTCACTAATATGAATGGGGAGTGAGACTATTATCCAGTGCGTGCTATTATAAAACCTGCATTGATATCGAATCAAATAATCGTCTTTATTTGCTTTACTTTAAAATATTATAACTCATCATAATTAGTCCAGAAACACACAACAACATGGAATATAAAGCTAATACACATTTATTCATTTCTCAAAGGATGACGGAAAGGTGAATGAACAGAAAATAAATAAATCCGTAATAGCAGAGAGAATGAATAAATTAACGGTAGATAGATAATCTTTTAGGATACAAAAGGAGCCTCCGAAAATATGCATCAGCTGTTGAGTTCCCAGCGTGTCGCGTTGTAGGGGAAATAAAACACGCATGAGAACGGGACGCTTACAAATCTCTGTGCACATTAATGGATTCGCCTTCCAAATTCATCTTCATCAATTTAAACGATGCGATCGTGCATACTGGATGCATGCAAATTTTCATTGACATTCAAACAGATTGGATTTATGTATGTAGTCTATACAAACATGATCCCCAAACAGATACGCAAAATTGAATTCACACAATCTCTATTTAAAGCCGATATATTATTTGTCCATGTACTCGAGTTTAATGTCATTTAAACGGGCACGTTCAAACTTACTCTGTGCTTGTTACTGAAATTTTCGAATATTGTCAACCAAAATTTGGATGACCGAGCTTTGCTCAGTGTTTTTATTGGTACAATACTTTTTAGAAAAAAAGAAATTAACAAAAAATTCTAAATACAATTGAATAGAAAGTGTCGTGGTGGCCCGGAGGTTTAAGACGCCCGCTTCTCATGCATGAGGGTGCAGGTTCGAAACCTACCAACGGCAAGTACCAATGTGACTTTTTCCGAGTTATATGTACTTTCTAAGATTATTTAGACACCACTGACAAACGGTGAAGGAAAAACATCGTGAGGAAACCTGGGCTTATAATTTCTAATTATAAGTTTGAAATCGCCAACCCGCATTGAGCAAGCGTGGTGATTAATGCTCAAACCTACTCCGTGTGAGAAGAGGCTTTGCTCAGCAGTGGGCATTTATATGCTGTTAATGAATGATGAATTGAATAGAAAACTGAAAAAATAGAAGAAACATTCAGACTGAGGTTTGAACTCGAATGACCGTGCATAGCAAACGTTCGTCCAATTTATTTTTACTTTACATAACATGGCGACATTTATGTTCGTATTGTATTCGGATTTTTGTTTAGTAAAAACGGGGACAAAACGACAATTTCCGAAAATGAATCATAACTAGATCGATTTATCGCCCCCGAAACCTTCAATACAAAATTTCAAGAAAATCAAAGTCGAAAGCATTTATTTCAATTAAACCATAATTTGGTACTTTTGAAACGTCAACAAATACAAAATAAATAATAGTCTATCAGTCAGTCCGTCAGTGAAGCTAGGTGAAGCTAGGTGCTCATACCAAAATGTATAAATAATAATAAAAAGAGCAAGAAACTCCATTCGTTACTCTTTTTAAAAAAATATGTTCTACAATGTCTCTGATACTTATTCCAATACTGTACGTATACGTGAGAACAATGCAAAGACACGCTTGACGCATTATAGGTATTAATTACAAACCTTACTAAAATAAAAAAATCTTATATAGTCTAACATGGTGCTCACATATGCATACCGATCAATACCATCGACGGAGTTGTTTCTGGTTTCGTTGATATTACATATTTATATTATACAAGAATTGCTCATTTAAAGGTATAAGATAATGGTAACCATGCAATATAAGTAGCATTGAACTACTTATTAAGTAATAATAGCTATTGTCTAATAAGTACAAAAGAAGACTGGTGCTTCATGGTCTCACGACAATAGATTTAGTAGAGAGGGGCTCTTTTTCTGGTATAGTGATCTTAGCTTGAAATTTTAAAATTCTAGTTTATTTAGCAACTGCTTACGGGCTCCAGAAACAACTAGCTTCCAAGTTCTAATAAGTCCATATCTAATTTAATCTGTCAAACACCAAGCGGTCACCGGTGACCGCGACCTATTGTTCTTTAATTGTGTCTATAAAACCGGTACTCGACGAGTTAAAAACTAAATTGGTCGTAAATTAACGAAAGATGTTGCTAGCAATTTTAAAGACACCTTAAAAGGTTTTCTTGTATTAAAATTAAACAAAATATTTACTTTAACTGCATTTCCCGTAGTGACGACTTGTGCCCAAAAAAAGATGATCAGGATCAATAATAATTTATTCGGCACAAAAATAGCATGGATAGATTGTGTGATTATTATATCATCTTATGATAACGTGCGGTAGGGAATAACAAAAGACGAACCAGATGGAGTCTATCTCGATGGAGGGGGATGACGAGCTACTGTCATTAAGAAATAATTAATTAATTATAGAGGTATATAACCCATGGTAAACCGAATTGTGTATTTGAAAATTATGTAAACAGCAATTTCACAAGTAGCTCGTTTTTCACAAACTAAATCAACACACTGTTTCATTGTAAACATGAATCGTTTTAACACACATAAAATAAACATTGCTCCGGGCAAAATCAAACCTAAAGTTTGATTTAAATTCTTGCAGAGTGACAGGTGATTGAAACCAGATATTTCATGGCATTTGTTCTGTTATTTAGATTACTTTGAAAGACATGGCTCTTTCGCAATCGCTGTTAAGAGAAGATAAAAATAGACAGACTCATTTGTTTCCAAAAGATTAAATAAAAGTTTATTAGTCTTTGTGCCACAGATAAAATCTCAGTAAAACCTCATTAATAGCACACAATACGAATTACAAAAATGTGATAGATACCTTGAAGCCATGAACAAAATATGGAATAGGTATATAGAATATAGGGCCTTTAAACTGTCAAACACCAAGCGGTCACCGGTGACCGCGACCTATTGTTCTTTAATTGTGTCTATAAAACCGGTACTCGACGAGTTAAGAAAGTAAGATGGTGTATCTGAATGTATCAAGACAACAAAATTACTTCTTTAACCCAAAATAAACACCAAAATTCACTATGTAAGTAAAAGTAAATAACCACACATTGCCACAATGTATCGTTGAATCTTCATTCCATATCGAGGTTTTACGATATTTGTACAACAAAAAACAATATCCAAGAGATTTAGCAATCACAATCGCCAAACCGGAGCGTGACTCTATTGTAAATGGCATGGATTTAATGTATGAAGCGGAGATTCATTTCAAATCGTCTTATTGTTTCAAGTTCGTCTACGTTTCTATTATCCTGAATCAGTCGATCAAATGTATTTAAAGTATTGTATTAGACGCCCACTGCTTCACAAAGGCATTCCTATTAAGATAGGGTTTGCGATAATCTTCACGCTACAGGTGACCCATCGTACAAGTCACCTACGCCAAAGCACCTTTGCTCATAGGTAGGCGTGCTCCATTGTCGGCCACATGATCGTTTAGGCGAGACTGTGGTCAACGCCACGTCCAATTAAATGTATAAAATCTCAGAATAGGTTTGTTCTATAAGCTAAGGTTCTTTTCCTAGAACTGTATTGATTGTCCCTCTAGGCCTACGTGATAAATATAAATCTATTATTTTGCCTAGCGTAACTGAACTACAGAAATATTAGCAATCTTATCATCTATATGAATTTAATAATATTCAAAACATAATTACATTTCTACGAAAAACTTTTAGGTAATGTAAAGTACTAATTAATAATAAAAAATATTAATAAATACAGGCGTAAATATTTAAATAATTAAGTTTTATTTGTACTCAATTCAAAAAGAAACGTTTGAATAACGTTTGAACCGCTTTGAATAATTCTTTTACATTACGTTCTACGTAATTGCTTTGAGAAACATATTTCCTAAGTAACAGAAGTTATTTTCTAACCTAAGTTACATTACTGAAACCTAAAAGAAGTAAATGGGTTACAGGTTGTATGCCGAGCAGGCGCGCGCTTTGATTTACTTGTTTCATAACTTTGGGAGGAGGAAAAGTATCAAGAGTTCGAGGATACGTGACATCCATCAATTGGAACTGGGTCATCTTGGATTATGAGTCATGCTTCCTCATAAAGAAGCTACGTTTGATCTTTATATAATGTAAATGCTAAAAGGCTTGTCTGATTCATAATGTGATGCTGAACTAAGACATTTAAAGTCACAAAAGTATATTAAAATGCTTTTTGGTAAGTTCCAAACAACAAAATCTAGTTAC